CTGCATAGAACTCCAAATCCTTCAAGCCACTATTAATAGTCCTTTTGTTAGTTATTAATTAAATTATTAACCAAAACCAAAAATGTTTTGATTCTGTGTGCATTTTTAATTTCTCTTGGCTATTTGGGATAAGTAGGACCTAATAGGTATAAAAAACTAAACATTGACTTTGAACAGGAGTGTGTGGGTGTGAATATGTATGTGTGTGTGTTTTCTGGCACACAAGAAATTAAAACTGATGCAAAGAAATGATACATTTCATCAACTCTATTGTTGAGAGACCTCCCACTGTTTGCTAGGGACACAGCATTTGTACAGTTGGAAAGTACTTTCATGAGCTTGGTGTCCATGTGCTGTAATACATAGTTCAGTGGTGTTCATGCAGCCTTTCATCTTCAGCCTCAAAGGGAACCACGTGTGGAGCAAATTGAGCAGACTTACAGCGCTGTCCACGCTTATGTTTGCACGTTTGGATCTTTGGAGCTCTGCACTTTCATCATTGCTTTGTTCTTCACTGTTTTGCTTTTCTCTTCTCTGCTCTTCTCTGCTTTGCTCTTCTTTGCTCCTCTCTGCTCGTCTATTCTCTGCTTTGCTCTTCTCTGCTCTTCTATTCTCTGCTTTGCTGTGCTTTGCTCTTCTCTGTTTGCTCTTTTCTGCTATTCTCTGCTTTGCTCTTCTCTGCTCTTCACTACAGTACACACAGAAAATGACGGAAAAAACAACAAAACTTTAGCAAATACATGGCTAATACACCAATGTTACAGGGTTTTCGTATATACATGTCATACTAAATTAAGATGGTAATAAATGGTTAGATTCAGTGATCACAGCAGTATGAGGTGAAATTCACACACAGGTTCAACAAGGTTCAGTGCCATCTTTAGCAAATAACTTTACACAAGCATTTGGGGGCTGGTTCAATATCACTAGAAAGATCCAACCTTTACATGTTACACGGGCTCCCCCCCACTTCACTGTTAAGCGCTTTGAGTTTCCATGATAAAGCGCTATATAAATGTAATACATTATTATATCTTTATTATTATTACACTTAGTAAGGGCAGTCCAACACACTAACAGACAGTGAATTGCAAGCACAGACAGCATTACAAGGCAAATACACACACAAATGTGTGAAAAGGCTAACCAACGTTTATAGCACAATATAATCCTGATGTTCTCATACGAGTACTTCCTAATTTACAGCAGCTTAGCTTGTTACTTTTGGAAAAAAAGTAATCTGTATCTACAGTAAATCTGTATATCATGCCAAACAACACATGTTATAACCACAACCATAACATTTTATTAGGATTTTTACCTTTTCCACTTAGCTGTCTGCATTGGCTGTAGAAGGTATTAGTGATATTGACGCCATCTTGTTTTTCCACGAATGAGTGTATTTTGGTTTTGCTACCACTAGATGGCACAGGCAACTTCCCACTAAGGAGGAGTATAGGTCTCAGTAAAGCAGAATTAAGTATACAATGCAGACAGCCCAAAATCTAATTTCCCCATATGAGGACACAGGGTCTCAGGAGTTAAAATGGATTTTTACAAACTAATGTCAATGAATTAACAATATATAAGGTAGAAAGGTATTCACCCCCAGGTCAGTAGATGCACATCTAGGCTGCAATTGCTTTATCAGGCTGACACACTACAATTCTTCTACATTCTTCCTTGCCAAAAAGCTCAATCTCTGTCAGGTTGCTTGGGGATCGGGCATGGACGGCTCTTTTGAAGTTCAATGTTTGTCCAATGGCTCTTTGGATGGATGGATTTTCCTTCTTTTCTCAGCTTGACAGTGGCTTGCTTTTCTCCCATAGACAGCTCTCTGGTCTTCATGTTGGTTTATCCTCTTTAACAGGAAATGCAGTCTTTATAGGTTTGAACCAAGGATGAAAACTTGAGACTATTTAATTTTTGGACAATCAACCTAAAAGGCAACACCAGGGCAACAAGAAACATCTGTCTGTCACATGTCCCAATACTTTTGCTCACTTGAACAATGGGTGGGTTCAAACTAAGGGTGGTATGTCCTGAGTTGTTTAACACATCTAGATGTGAATAAGAGCTGAAATTCTGAACTCTTGTCTCATACTCAACTTTTGTCTTCAGTGAACAACAAAAACAAAGTAATTTGCCTTACTGTTCCAATACTTTTGGAGGGGACTGTATGAGCTTTTTTCAGCAGTGGCTTTCTCTTTGCCTTCTCTCTCCCATCCAGCTTCGACTGGTGAAGAACCCGGCCAACTGTTGTTGTATGTTCAGTCTCTCTGAAGCTTTTCACTCCTTCAGAGGGCTCGTAGGTGTTTTGGTGGCCGCCCTCACCAGTCTTCTTCTTGCCCGGTCTCTCAGTTTGTGAGGACGGCCAGCTGTAGGCAGATTTAAACAAGTACCATTCTCCATCCATTTCTGAATGATGGATATCACTGAACTCTGTGGGACCCAACTTCTCTTCTTACTTCTAATTAACTAGAAGACTACTCGGAGACTGAATATCATTGTTATTATTCTCTCTTCTTCTTCTTTGTACGTTCAATGTAGTGACGGGCATCTACACTACCGGAATTACACAAGCAGAAGAAGAACGCCTGTGATGATGAAACAGGCTCTGTAGAAACATGACAACAAAATATAGTGACCTCCATAGAAGGGGGTGCCCGCAGTTATGTAGATATAAATGTCTCATTCTAAGGTAATAAAAACATAATGGTTCATTATGTAAGGTCTTTACACACCACTGAAAACACGGTTATGGATCTTATATTGCATTTCTGTCAACAGAGCCACAGAAATATTACACACTGAACCTTTAACATTCTACCTTATACTTTAAGATAAATAAGGAACCTTGCACCCAGTACCAGAGCCTGATATTTTTGAAGAGTGCCTTATTTGCTGCTCTGTTCTAAGTCAAGTTTAAGAATGTGCACACATCAAACCAACCTGTGAATAAGTGATGAAACAAAGACTGACCTGTACAGAGTAATTATTAATCCAATAGGTGGTATCATTAAGTCTGGGTTTAGGAAGTACCATAGCACTGAGACTGCCCTGGTTAAAGTCACCATTGACGTATCAATGTTTGCTGATGATGGCGTGTAATCAGTCCTGGTACTTTATTTTATCCCTTTTATTAGGGCCCGAGCACGAACCGTGTGAGGTCCCTATTGAAACTGTAAAGATTATTGTCTTTTCTTTTCTTTTTTTTTCTTTTTTCTTTCAGATTTGTGCGGTGCCTTCTAAAGGCATTGACGATGAAAAGTTGTGCTATCTGTGAGTTTTCGTCAATGGGCGTGTCCGTGGCGTGGCAGCCCCCGATGCACGTTTAACCTATGAAATTTCTGTGGCACATGTATCATGCCCAGACGTACCAAAAAGCCTCTTGGAGCGATGCCCTAATCTCAACAGGAAGTCGGCCATTTTGAATTCTATGGCCATTTGGATGATTTACACACTCCGTACTTTAACGAACTCCTCCTAGGGATTTAGTCGGATTGATTTCAAATTTCTGCTGTGCCTTCTAAAGGCATTGATGATGAAAAGTTGTGCTATCTGTGAGTTTTCGTCAATGGGCGTGTTTGTGGCGTGGCGTCAAAGATCAACTCTTCGCCATGACACAGGAAGTTGTTGTAACTTCAGTGTACATGCTCCCGTCCCGAAGACATCTACACGCCAATATTAATTTATATTCATAGCGCCAAGTGCTATGTAGCGGCACAAAGGGGACACAGGAAGTGACGTATAACACCTTCATGCAGCGTCCAAATTGCGTAGCAAATTCACAACCGCACCGGCAGAGCTCCAGAATATGCAATGCGACTGCCTCATACCCCAATGCGTTCCACGTGCGAGGGCCCGTCCAACACTGCTTGTAGCTTTAATTAGTGTTAGGGTATTTGTATAGCCCCACATTCATACACTGAGCCTAAGTGCTCAAACACAAACTAACATTCACACACATTCATACACTGGTGGAACAGCCACCATTCGGGGTTCGAAATTCGGGGTTCAGTATCTTGGCCAAGGACACTTCGACATGCAGCCTGGAGGAGCCAGGGATTGAAATGCCAAGCTTCCAATTAACGGGCAACCCGCTTTATCTCCTGAGCCACAGTCGCCCCCTTATTTATGTTCAATCCTGAAATATTATTTTTAGAATTTTGCTTTTCCAATGCAAAGAAATAGCTAGTGTTTTTTTCGCAGGGGTATTGTGTGTGGGTTTTTAGAGACCAATTCCTACTCTTCGATTCCCACCTCCCACTTGAGCATAAGCTAGGGGTCATGAGAACACTGCACCACAGAACGGAAAACATACCAACAAGCGCCAAAGCCAGACAGAAGGAATAGAAACACCTGAAGGGGGCACTTACAGCCTGTGGATACCCAAAATGGACCTTTGTGAAAACAGCCACATGATCCAGGGGGATCCAGTGGGGAGACTACTACAACCACTACACAAACGCATGGCTCAACACAGAAGGGCCAATTCCTCAGGTCAAGACTCTGCAGTTTACTTACATCTGAAGGACAGAGGACACTCGTTTGAGGACCACCAGGTGCACATTTTAGACAGAGAGGATGGATAGTTTGAAAGAGGTGTCAAGGAAGCCATTTACAACCGGATTGAGAAGCCGTCGTTGAACAGAGGAGGGGGTCTATGCCACCACTTATGCCCCACTTACAATGCGGCCCTTTCATCACTTCCCAGGAAACTCAACAAACGTAACCCATTGGCCTCAGGTGAGGATGCCAACGATGGTTGTTTAGTCTTGGCCTCAAGTAGTCCTAATGACCATAGAGATGTCCGCTTTTTGCCGCCAAAATGCATTCTGGGATATCTGGCTATCCAAAGTCCACACAAGTAACCACTGATGCAGGCTCAGTAAAACAGGTGGAGCAAGAATACATCCCTGTATTTGACTCCACTTGGCTATATGTGGACTTTTGAATTGGAACAGGACTTGCGCTGCGACTGATGATGTTTCAAAAGTCCACAAGTACAGAAAAGAATGCAGATTGAGAAACATCTTATGTCCAATCTGGTGTACAATATCAATTAGAAATCCAACTTGTTTTTCTCATCTGACAGCTTCAGGAAGGTTGAACAGCTTTAGGTTCCAGCGTTGACTATAGTGTTCTGCTTCTTCAATCTTCATATCTTTTCAGAGATTTTTTTTACTTACAGCATGTATCTTCTCATCAGTTGTTTTTGTCTGATAATCCATCCCTTAGACATTTTCTTTGATGGACAAAATGTCTGCTGCGTATTTACTTATTTTTTGCTCCTGGATCAACTCCTGGATAGCTTTTAAGGGGGCTATCACACTTGCCTCGTTTGGTCCAGACTTTTGAACATTTAAGTGTGGTCCAAACCAAAATTGCAGGCGTGAAACTTCCCATGGACCGCGGTCCGGACCAAACAGAAAAAATGTCTGTGTGTGTGTGTGTGTGTGTAGTAAGGGTAACATTGCTCAGCAGAGATGCGATGAAATGCAGCCTCCGTTAACGTCCTAGTCCCTAACTGGAATTTAATTGTGAAGCAGAGAAAACAACCAGAATGATTAATTTAAGCCAATAAATACAAATTATATTTCTATTGTTCAATCATATTTATCTATATTCTTTCTGTCCATGCCTATGCTCCAATCACAGGACTCCAGGCTGAAGGCAATCACACCTCAACAGGTAAAGAGAGAAAGAAAAGAGAAAGAAAGAATCACAGAAACAGAATCAGTAGTCAAGTTTTAGTTTAGTCTCTTTACTGATGACTCTCTTGTTTCTGTTCAGAGGCTGATGATGTCAAGTTGGTGGGAGGAGCCAGTCGCTGTGCAGGAACACTGGAGGTGAAACATGAGGGAGACTGGAGACCAGTGATGGACTCTGTCTGGAGCCTGAAGACAGCAGCTGTTGTCTGTAGACAACTGGACTGTGGCTCTGCTGTTTCTGTAGGAGAGAGAATGGCGTCCTCAGACAGGCCTGTGTGGAGGATCAGGTCTGTCTGTGTTCAGTCTGGATCTGCTCTGAGGGAGTGTGTAACATCAACTTCCTCTGCCTTAATCCTGGATCTCACCTGCTTAGGTAAGCCTATCAATGACATCATCTATGACAGTAATGTACCCAGGTTATTTTGTGTCTGCTGTTTTTATCTATTTCATCTTCTATTATCTCTCCAGACTCTGTCAGGCTGCTGGGCGGGACTAGTCTGTGTTCAGGCAGACTGGAGGTGAAGTCTAACCAGTCTAACCAGTCTAACCAGAGGTGGTCCTCAGTGTGTGAAGCTGACTTTGACCAGCAGGATGCAGAGGTGGTCTGTAGGGAGCTTGGCTGTGGGGCTCCTTCAGTCCTCCAGGGGGCGCTCTATGGAAAAGTAGAGGCTCCGATGTGGACCAAAGAGTTCCAGTGTGGAGGCCATGAGTCTGCTCTCCTGGACTGTAGAAGCTCAGGCTCAGCTAGAAACACCTGCTCACCTGGAAAAGCTGTTGGACTCACCTGCTCAGGTAGAAGAGGAGCTGCAGCTTTGATTTGGTTCATTTCTGTTCTGATGAAACTCACTTTATTGTTTTACTAATGACTCCCCGGTTTCTGTTCAGAGCCTGATGATGTCAGGTTGGTGGGAGGAGCCAGTCGCTGTGCAGGAACACTGGAGGTGAAACAGGGAGACTGGAGACCAGTAAGTGACTCTGGCTGGAGCCTGAAGACAGCAGCTGTTGTCTGTAGACAGCTGGACTGTGGCTCTGCTGTTTCTGTAGGAGAGAGAAAGGAGTCCTCATACAGACCTGTGTGGAGGATCTGGTCTGTCTGTGTTCAGTCTGGATCTACTCTGAGGGAGTGTGTAACATCAGATTACTCTTCCTCCATCTTGGATCTCACCTGTTCAGGTAAGCCCATCAGTGACATAATCTATGACAGTAATGTACCCAGGTTATTTTGTGTCTGCTGTTTTTATCTATTTCATCTTCTATTATCTCTCCAGACTCTGTCAGGCTGCTGGACGGGACTAGTCTGTGCTCAGGCAGACTGGAGGTGAAGTCTAACCAGTCTAACCAGTCTAACCAGAGGTGGTCCTCAGTGTGTGAAGCTGACTTTGACCAGCAGGATGCAGAGGTGGTCTGTAGGGAGCTTGGCTGTGGGGCTCCTTCAGTCCTCCAGGGGGCGCTCTATGGAGAAGTGGAGGCTCCGATGTGGACCAAAGAGTTCCAGTGTGGAGGCCATGAGTCTGCTCTCCTGGACTGTAGAAGCTCAGGCTCAGCTAGAAACACCTGCTCACCTGGAAAAGCTGTTGGACTCACCTGCTCAGGTAGAAGAGGAGCTGCAGCTTTGATTTGGTTCATTTCTGTTCTGATGAAACTCACTTTATTGTTTTACTGATGACTCTCTGGTTTCTGTTCAGAGCCTGATGATGTCAGGTTGGTGGGAGGAGCCAGTCGCTGTGCAGGAACACTGGAGGTGAAACAGGGAGACTGGAGACCAGTGATGGACTCTGTCTGGACCCTGAAGACAGCAGCTGTTGTCTGTAGACAGCTGGACTGTGGCTCTGCTGTTTCTGTAGGAGAGAGAAAGGAGTCCTCATACAGACCTGTGTGGTCGATCTGGTCTGTCTGTGTTCAGTCTGGATCTACTCTGAGGGAGTGTGCAGAATTGTCTTCCTCTTCCACCATACTGGATCTCACCTGCTCAGGTATGCCCTTCAGTGACATCATCTATGACAGTAATGTACCCAGGTTGACTCAGCAGCTAGAATGGCAGCAGACTCTTTTTGGTTGCTAATTAACATTAGCTAAATCACTAATGAAGTAATGTTAGCTGTATGTCATTACTATTTACTCGTCCAGGGTTGAGAACATCAGGTCCAAGTTAAACTGGTGTACAGCTCTGTCCTGTTCACACACATCCACATACTAGTTCAATTATATTTCAGTTTTCAGAGAAGTCTGAAAACTGGGTGTTAAAGGACGGTGGTGACCATGAAGAAGCTGAAGTTAGTAAAGTAAGTTAGGGATGCAAACTGGTCCTTTTAAGCTAATGAGGAGACGTTTGTTTTGGATGTTAACGTGCAAATTATGCTTAGTAATTATAAATCAGAAAAAAAGATGCATCAATAATAGTTTAATAATCACATCGCAGCCTTCTGAATTGTAATTGAATCGTGAAGTGCTTGAAGTTTCCCACCCTTAATGATAAGAACCATAATACTTTCTTTGGTTTCTATTTTCTTCCCTCAGTGAAAGAATTTAATAGTAATGAGTGAAGCTGACTCTGAGACAGTGAGAGAAGTTAAGACAAAAAGATGTGGAAAGGAGAAGAGTGACCAGTAGTAGATCAAATAAAGTACCGTAACATGATAATATACGGGCATGTTGTTCATCCTACTGTGCTACTTCCTACAGAAATATAATATCATTTGAGTAAATGTTCTTCTGTTGGCCTGATATTCAATTCACAGTATTGAAGAACACATTTACTTGGCACTGTTGCATTTGCTGTTGCTATTAGAGCAGCCTACATTATTTTGGCATGGACTCAGATGTAGCTGATTTTTTAGCTAAACACAAACTTAACATTCATTCTGTGAACTCTCCAGATTAGTAATGCTGTTTACACCATAGTCCTACTGTGGTGTCCGAACGATAATGCTGCGATGATGTGTTGAGAAGAAATCCGCTTGACACTGTTCTTGGTTATAAAAGTTTATTACATCAAAGAATTCAGCATCAATTACAAGCTCTGCAGCAGCTTGGAGAGTGACCCAGCCCGATAACCACTCTGTCTCTCTGTACATTGAACACAGCTTATATAGGACATGTTTAGGTCTCTGCTAAATACCATATAAGGGCACAGTGCTGTAGAATAAGTGTAACCATCTGTTAGACACCACAGAAGGGTACAGTCCCTTCATACACACTAATCTCTTCATACACACTAATCTCTACTCCCCCTAACACTGGGTCAGAGGTCAAATTCCATAGGAGGGTTCACTCTTTACACACCCATCAATCATTACTTCCCCATAAGGGTTCACTGTTCCTCTCACCAGCTGCAGAGCATTATGTTAAACTGTAATGGTCAAATGCACATATGTTATGCACCACATATTCCCCCCTACGAGACTTAATTGAGTCTCGAAAAACAAAAAGAGATAAATTTCTCCAACACATGCTTCTTGCATATTATTTTTAACAGCATATCATAACTTTATGGAGTGTGAGAACGAAAAACCCGTCCGGCAGCCTTCATTCCAAATTCCCTCCAAGACAATCTAGACAGGAAAATTTTCTCACGGCCCCTCTGCCTTAGGCGGCCACGCATGGTACTCCAGTCCAATTAATAAAAAACATCTTTATCAGTCAATGCAGAAATATGGTTAAGCCAATACATGTGAAAACCTCAGGAAATAAAACAAATCAAAACAATGTCCGAATTCAGGCTGGTCAACCCATCGGACCCTCCAACAGACCTTTCCCTGCCTAGATCCTATATCCCTAAGCATCAAGAAAAAGAAAAAACCTGAGGTCCCCAAATATTAACTCCCTAACTGAAAGTACAAGTCTTTACACAGTTAACACAAAAGAATATGATTGTTAATTAAGTATTATTCATTCACATATGTATCATATCTATATCAAAGTAGACATAGGAAGGTATTCACTACAGCTCCTCAGCAGTGTCGATGCAATCCAGACGTTTCCACACCGTCCTTGTCCAGAGTCCATTCATATTGTCCTTGTTTGAGTATTTGAATCCCCATCTGTACATCCCCATATACTCTGGAAGAAAAGAAACACCAACCAGTATCTTGTTGCAAATAACACATGAAAATTAAAACCTCAATGTATGAAAATACAAAGTAACATTAAAATGGATATCTTTCCATCATTACTTCATCTGGTTCCCTCATCATCTCCATCTAAATCAGCCATAGTTAACAAAGGCATCTGAGTGTTCTCCCCAGGCATTACCACTCCAACCCATCTCAATATCATAGCTTTCGCAAAAGTCAATAGCACCGTACAAAAGCAAAACATCAAACACAGCACTACAAAAGCTGCTACCAAAATCTGAACCACCACTGCTCCCCACTGGTCCTAACTGATTTGTAGCCAAGTATTTGCTGACCATCCAGCTCCCTCAGATTGACCAAACGCATCCCTTATACTCTTTAATGCATCTATACCACTAGTGATATTATCAGAACTATCTGGGATCAAAGTATAACAACCGTCTCCCGTCAAGTTCATAGCCACACACAAACCTCCTTGTTTGGCTAAAATATAGTCAAGAGCCATGTCATGTTTCAACAATGTCAGTCTGTGACTTCTTTGAGTATTTGACAGAAGATTAAACCCTCGTATAGTTTCATTTGCAAATCCCCATTAATTTTTTCACAAATCCCTCGACTTTGTGGGTGATAAACTGCTCCAAGATGTTGTTTGATTCCCACTTTTTGCTAAATCAATTTCACTGTTTTATCCACAAACTCTTTCCCATTATCTGATGATATTCGATCTGGAAGTCCCTACCTGCTTATGACCTCTCTACACAAAAACTTGGCAACCGATTGAGCGTCTTTCCACTTGGTTGGACAGGCCTCCGGCCATCGTGAAAATCTATCCACAACCACTAGCATGTATCTTTTCCCTTCAACTAGTTTTATCATATCGACAAAGTCAACAACTAACTCAAAAAAAAAAACAGCTTCCTGCATCAAAATCACTTCCTTAAGCATAATTCTGTCTTCCAAGTCCACCCCATGAGTGACCCAAAAAACCTTGCCCAATTTGTCAGCTCCTGTGACAGCTTTTGCAGCTTCATCAGCAGCTTTGTTCCCTTGTGTCACTCTTGACGCATCTGTTTTATGAGCTGCACACTTAGCTATCGCTATCTCTTTAGGCCTCATCATAGCATGCAACAGTTTATTATTTGTGCGTGATGTTGTATCGGAGAACCATCCGTTTTCTTAAACCCCCGACCTTTCCACACTGCTCCAAACAAATGACATACATTATGTGCATATGCCGAATCAGTATATATTGTCACTCGCTGCCCGTCAGCTAACAAACACGCTTCTGTTAGCCCCACAAGTTCTGCAAGCTGTGCAGACGCAGGCTGTGGTATTACTTCTGCTTTTTCAACAACAAATCCCGTTCCTTGAGCTTTTACTACTGCATAGCCAGCACACGATTTATCTCCCACACGATAACAAGACCCATCAGTCCAATACTCCAGGTCTGCCTCACGTAGTGGAAGGGCTTGCAAGTCTGATCTAAGCCTTGAGTATTTCTCTGCCTCTTGAACACCATCATGTGGCTCACCATCCTCTGATGTTGGCAAATTCTCGGCTGGATTTACCGTATCACACCTTACCAGGGTGACATCCTCCTGCTCTAAGAGCCTATGATAGTCTCTAAGCCTTGGCATAGTCAATGTGTACTTTCCCCCCAGTTCAGTAGATTCCTGAGAATATGATGGGTAAGAATTGTCACTGGGTAACCCCTCGTAACAGATGATGCTTTGTCATACATTAAATAAACTCCAACCATTGCTCTGTAGCACAGTGGTAGCCCTAATTCCACTTCTGAATATGCAGTCGAATAATAGGAAATAGGTTGAGGATTCGACCCTGTACCTGTCGGCTGACAAAGGACTGCACATGCATATTTACCTCCAGTGGAATTAGACACATACAACAAGAAATTCTTAGAGTAGTCCGGTAATGTGAGCGCTGGCGCCTCCTGTAACCTCTGTTTGATTGTTTCAAATGCCACAAGGCCTTCCTGTGTCCAGGACAGATTGCTGTGAAGTTGAGCGTTCCCGGTATCCTTAACCATAGCTCTCAAATGTCCCATCAAACTAGATTAATCCTCAACCCAATGCTGAAGAATAACCATATGAATAAGCTATGCAGACAGTTGTAAAGAAAGAACATCTTTTTCTTCTGTTCTCTACTTGTTATAGTTACACAGTATTAGGGGTGTGGGCTGTATTAAAAGTATCCACTGTTCTCCCATGCTCTAACACACAGTAACGATGAAATGTCTGCTGTTCTCACATTCTTCCTCTGTATGTACACATAAACAACAAGGCAGGGAAATATAAAAGGAATTTATTTTATTGTTTGGGTACATTATTGTTCAGTGTACATGCTCACATCTGAAACAAACTTTACGTGCTTGATAACTCTCCCACCCCGCAGACATCTACACACCAATACCGATTTATGTTCATAGCGGCAAGTGCTATGTAGCTCCACATAGGGGACACAGGAAGTGACATATAGCACCTTCATGCGGCGTCGGAACCGCGTAGGAAATTCACAGCCGCACCGGCAGAGCTCCAGAATGTGCAACTTGGCCGGCTCACGCGCGGACGCGCTACAAGTGCGAGGGCCCGCCCAACGCTGCTTGCAGCTTTAATTTTTTAGGGCCCGAGCACGACCGTGCGAGGTCCCTATTGAATCTGCTCGGATTATATATTTTTTTTTTTTTTTTTTTTGGCCTAAACATACTCGAAAACTCACCAAAATTTGCAAACATGTCAGAACCGGTGAAAAATTTCGTATTCTACAAGTTTCGCACATGGGCGTGGCAAAATGACTCGCTAGCGCCACCTTGAAAATTGGAAATGATTAGCCCCTCGTTCACGTTCAACCTACATGTACGAAATTTTCTGGGGACATGTATCGTATCAAGACGCACAAAAAAGCCTCAAGAACCCATAGCCTAAAGTCAACAGGAAGTCGGCCATTTTGAATTTTATGGCCATTTTTGGAT